GAATTTGTTTTCTCATAAAAAGAAAAATATTTTTAATTTATTAAAAAAGAAAAAATTAATATATTTAGATATAATAAAATCTATATTACTGATAGACGTCAATCCAAACTTAATTGTCTTATAACCCCATCTATTAGGAGAATAAAAATTATGCTAAAAGTACAAGAAAACTTTTGTATTATCAAAAATCAAAGAATACCTTTTAGAGAATAAGATCTCTTAAGAATGTATATAAAGAAGGAAATACTATTTTGAGGAAATATTCTTACTTTAAGAAAATTTAGATGGAAGGACACGCCATTAACGAAAATTGTGGTTAATAAACTACATAGAAAGATGTTATTAAATACTGTGAAAGCTGTTGGTTTTTAAGTATTACACAACAAGAAAAATAGATTAAGTTTACCTAACCATAGAAACAATGAGATGGGGAGAAAATAAAACTCCTAAACCCCAATATAAACCATCTCTCCGACAAGAGAGAAGAACTTCTGGTTTTTTTGAAGAAAAAAAAACTAAATAGGAGGAAGGAAACAACAATTACCAGTATTTGAGGGTATTTAATTTAAAATTTTTAGTCCCTAAAATGGATGTCAATTTTAAGGAGAAAAAAATAGAAATTTAAAAAAATAAAGTTATTTTTGTTTTAAGATGCAAATAAAGTCTTTTTTTTTAAATTTTTATTTTAAAATAGTTTTTAATAATAATTTGAATGTTGAAACACTGGTATTTCTCTTAATAAACGTAAATAATCGTAGAAATGGTTCAATATTTGCTGTTGTCCTATTTCTATTAGGAATATTTAACCTTACACCCGCTCATGTACCTTTTATGGTATTAGTATGTACCAACGTATCACGATCCACAAAACTTACACTATGATTTACTGTACGATGCGTGTATCCGTTTCTTGAAAGACCGCTATAGCCTTTCCAGCAGTCTGTATATACAATACTTCCCTCTTTGACAAACTTTTAAATGTAAAACAATAATGTGGCCGCCTTTCTATCAGGCAATTTAATAATATAGGCCGCCGAGCAGGTGTTCTCTCGACCATTCCTAACACCCATACACCATCAACTCTATGTCCTCTATTGCATTTCGTTTACCGAATTTAGACTCATCTATTTCGACGATGATAACTGGTCCGCCTATAGAAACATTTTAAGGTAACAATTTACCTGTTAATTTCAAACCTTTTTGTATCGTTTGTCTACTAACATCAGTCAAAAGTGAAATTAATTTAATTTTAGAATTTTTTAATATAAAAATAAAATATTTAAAATTGTTTTCCAACTAATCTTTGAAATGTAAAAAGGCTTTTTCTTAATAAAAGTGAATTTTTTTCGGCAGCCAGTCTTTGTACATCTCAAAATATTCTATTTTTTTCTACTTAAAATTGACATCCATTTTAGGGGCTACAAATTTTGAACTAAAACACCCTCAAATACGGGGAATTGTTGTTTTTATTAGCCACCAAAAATTATGTGCCTTCAGGAGACATGTAAACAATCTGTATTCCCCTCAAGGCTCGAAAAATATACTGCTGTAGAAACTATTAGCAGTGGAAAAAATAAACCAGGATTGATTACTCTGGGTTAAAAAATGGAGCTACTAGATGCTCTAAGATATGGACCGACTCAAGCATATTGCAAACTGTGGTTGAGTTTAGGTCAGTAGGCAAATGGATTAAGTACCTAATCATCAATATTTACATACCACAAGACAGGGACCTTAAGAAAGAGAGCCCTGCCAGACTACTATCTTTTCTGTCTGAAGAGAAATTAAAAAATCACTATAGTGAGATCATAGTGATGGGAGATATGAATATGCAGGATTCATCTTTCAAGAAAAAATTA